AGTCGAACGCACCTGCAAAGTGGGGGATTCAATTTTAAAACCTAGTGTTAACAGGCTAGTGATAGTTGTTTGATTACTTCGACCACTTGGCCACCAAGGACCACTAGATGTCATACCACATGCTAGGTCACTAAGAAAATTTGTGTAGGAAGACATGACTTGACCTGAAAACATTAATCAGATTCGAAAACTAGGAATAAATTTCAAAATGCCAATTCTAAAACCCTGTAATGTGTTGGTTCCCAATAGAATGGTTTGGTTCACAAACAGTTCTAAAAGGCACCATTTCTGACACTTTCATTATTATATTATTTCCTCTACGTTCAGTTTCTGCTAACAGTAGGCCCAGTTGTTTTGGATCACATTCATAAAAGTGTACAATTTAATTTTGGATCTAAGATCTCTTCTGGTTGGTTGAAAGTTTCAAAGATCAGCTCATAGACATAATTTTGTCATGTGACCATGACATCAACATTTTTTCATGATTTACTCCTTAACAAGAGTACACACGCTGAAATGTCTCGCCTTCTTTACTAATCATTGATATTATGTTGATAGTCCTAAATATAAAGCTTTATTACAACTGTCACATAAACTTAACATTAACCAAGTAAACTAAACATTGCCCAATGAACCATGAAAATGAGGTCAAGGTCAGATGAACCATGCTAGGCAGGCATGTACAGCTAACAATTCTTCCATACAACAAATATAGTTGACCTATTGCTTAAAGTTTAAGAAAAACAGACCACAACACAAAAACTTAACACTGAGCAATGAACCTTGAAAATGAGGTCAAGGTCAAATAAAACCTGCGCGACTGACAAATAGATCATAAAATATTTCCATACACCAAATATAGTTGAACTATTGCATATAGTATTAGAAAAAAAGACCAAAACTCAAAAACTTAACTTTGACCACTGAACCATGAAAATGAGGTCAAGGTCAGATGACACCTGCCCGCTAGACATGTACACCTTACAATCATTCCATACACCAAATAGAGTAGACCTATTGCATACAGTATAAGAAAAACAGACCAAAACACAAAAACTTAACTACAACCACTGAACCATGAAAATGAGGTCAAGGTCAGATGACACCTGCCAGTTGGACATGTACACCTTACAGTCCTTCCATACACCGAATATACTAGACGTATTGCTTATAGTATCTGAGATATGGACTTGACCACCAAAACTTAACCTTGTTCACTGATCCATGAAATGAGGTCGACGTCAAGTGAAAACTGTCTGACGGGCATGAGGACCTTACGCACATACCAAATATAGTTATCCTATTACTTATAATAAGAGAGAATTTAACATTACAAAAAATCTTAACTTTTTTTTCAAGTAGTCACTGAACCATGAAAATGAGGTCAAGGATATTGGACATGTGACTGACGGAAACTTCGTAACATGAGGCATCCATATACAAAGTATGAAGCATCCAGACCTTCCACCTAAAATATAAAGCTTTTAAGAAGTTAGCTAACGCCGGCCGGATCACTATCCCTATGTCGAGCTTTCTGCGACAAAAGTCGCAGGCTCGACAAAAATGAAATCTAGAATTCAATTATGAGGAATGACTACCGGTAATATTTTTCGGTCTATTCGAAATAACCTAAAAAATGTGGTGCACACTTTTAAATAACCCGCTGAGTGCATTCACCACATTTTTTATGTTATTTCTTCATAGACAGAAAATATCACAGTCATTCCTTAAACTTATTGAAGGTAATATATACAGAGTAAAAAAACTTTAGCAACATATTTTAATTCAAAAACTTAAAATTAAAAATTTTCAGAGTTGTGGAAATCAATTTTTAATAAATTTATTTGATAAACTTAAAATTTGCATTTCATGGTTTATTTTCTTTATTTTTACAATAATTTATTTGTTATGCTTTATCTTTTAAATATAGAATTAATAAAATGCTTCGCTGGGGCGCAGCTTGATACGACCGCAGAGGTCGAACCCTGAACAGTTGGGGCAAGTATGGACACAACATTCAAGCTTGATACAGCTCTGAATTTGGATTGTTATTAAATATTTGACACAGCATAGGTTTCTGACACAGAAAGAATGTGGTCTAAGAACTTGAATTTTTTTAATTTACCTATTATGGTCCAATGTCCAAAATCAAAATACATGGCTAGATTCAGCATATCAAAGAACCCCATATATTCAATTTTTGTTATAATCAAACAAAGTTTAATTTTGGACCCCAACTTGGACAAACTTGAAAACTGGGCCCATAATCAAAAATCTAAACACATGTTTAGATTCAGCATATCAAAGAACCCCAAGAATTCAATTTTTGCTAAAATCAAACTAAGTTTAATTTTGGACCCTTTGGACCTTAATGTAGACCAATTTAAAAAACGGGACTTAAAATTAAAAATCTAAATACCCGGTTAGATTTGGAATATCAAAGAACCCCAATAATTCAATTTTTGATGAAATCAAACAAAGTTTAATTTTGGACCCTTTTGACCTCAATATGAACCAATTTGATAGCGGGGCCCACAAATAAAAAATCTAAATTCATGGTTAGATTCAGCATATCAAAGAACCCCATATATTCAATTTTTGTTGAAATCAAAAAAAGTTTAATTTTGGACCCCAACTTAGACCAACTTGAAAACTGGGCCCAAAATCAAAAATCTAAACACATGTTTAGATTCAGCATATCAAAGAACCCCAATAATTCAATTTTTGTTAAAATCAAACTAAGTTTAATTTTGGACCCTTTGGACCTCAATGAAGACCAATTTAAAAAACGGGACCCAAAGTAAAAATCTTAAAACACGGTTAGATTTGGCATATCAAAGAACCCCAATAATTCAATTTTCGATGAAATCAAACAAAGTTTAATTTTGGACCCTTTTGACCTCAATATGAACCAATTTGATAGAGGGGCCTACAAATAAAAAATCTAAATACATGGTTAGATTCAGCATATCAAAGAACCTCATATATTCAATTTTTGTTGAAATCAAACAAAGTTTAATTTTGGACCCCAATTAGGACCAACTTGAAAACTGGGCCCATAATCAAAAATCTAAATACATGTTTAGATTCAGCATATCAAAGAACCCCATATATTCAATTTTTGTTGAAATCAAACAAAGTTTAAATACTGGACCCTATCTTGGACCAACTTGAAAACTGGGCCCATAATCAAAAACCTAAACACATGTTTAGATTCAGCAAATCAAAGAACCCCAAGAATTCAATTTTTGTCAAAATCAAACTAAGTTTAATTTTGGACCCTTTGGACCTCAATGTAGACCAATTTAAAAAACAGGACCCAAAATTAAAAACCTAAATACACGGTTAGATTTGGAATATCAAAGAACCCCAATAATTCAATTTTAGATGAAATCAAACAAAGTTTAATTTTGGACCCTTTTGACCTCAATATGAACCAATTAGATAACGGGGTCCACAAATAAAAAATCTAAATACATGGTTAGATTCAGCATATCAAAGAACCCCATATATTCAATTTTTGTTGAAATCAAACAAAGTTTAATTTTGGACCCCAATTTGGACCAACTTGAAAACTGGGCCAAAAATCAAAAATCTAAATACATGTTTAGATTCAGCATATCAAAGAACCTCATATATTCAATTTTTGCTAAAATCAAACAAAGTTTAATTTTGGACCCTTTGGACATTAATGTAGACCAATTTGAAAACTGGACCCAAAATTAAAAATCTAAATACACTGTTAGATTCGGCATAACAAATAAATAAATGTGATCAAAGATTTTACAAATCTAATGCGCCATACTGTGCAATTAAAGATTACTTCTTTAAATTTTTCAATATTTGAAATTTGAAAAAAAAATAATATTTGAAGAATAATTCTTTTTAATTTCTGAAATCTGAAATGAGAAAAAATTGGCCCCCCACAATTTCTTTTTATTCCCCCCCCCCCCCCCCCCTTTTTCCCCCCAAAAAATTCTTTCCCTCAAGATATGGTCATAATCTCAATTCAAATTTCCAATGGAGTTGGCAACCATAATTACCCATTTAAATTTACCATAGTGCTAACTTAATCTATTTTATAATAGAATTAATAAAAATATAGTGTCAAATCTTTCATATGGATTTTTTTGTAAAAAAAAAAGATGAAAACATTTGCAGATATTTTTACTGGTCTTCCTTTATAAATATGCATTTCTTTAAACATAATTTAATAGCAGTGTAAGGGAAGTAACCAAAACGTTGTATTTGGATTACCTCCCTTACACTGTTTTAGATTATCTTTAATGTTCATTAACCATTACTTTATACATAATTTAAAAGCAGTGTAAGGGAGATAATTTCAATGATGTATTTGATTTATCTCCCTTACACTGCTTTAAATTATGTTTTGTACTAAAGTATTTGTCCATTAACCAGGACAACCTTGTTTTTCCCCCTTTTTTGCCCCTAATTCCTAAACGGTTTGAGCCATAACCCCCCAAAGCAAATCCTAACCATCCCTTTGTGGTATGGAAACTTGTAGTATAATTTCAGAGAGATCCATACACCGTTCCACAGTTATTGTCTGGAAACTAGAAAATGCTCATTTTTGGCCCCTTTTTGGCCCCTAATTCCTTAACTGTTGGTACCATAACCCCCAAAATCAATCCCAACCTTCCTTTTGTGGTATTTAACCTTATGGTCAAATTTCAAAAAGATCCATTCACTTAAACTAAAGTTAGAGTGCGAAAACCAATATGTATTCGGACGACGACGCCGGACGACGACGACGCCGGACGACGACGACGACGACGACGACGCCAACGTCATACCAATATACGACCACAAAATTTTTTTGCGGTCGTATAAAAATAATAGTTGCCAAACTTTTTTTTACTCCATACAAGGATGTATGACTAAAATAAGTCCTTGCTCAATATAGTTCACATGGCTCAAAACCATTACTTCTATTCTTATTTATAAAATTTCAGCAGGCAAATTAATAACACTGAAGATAATTGTATCTTTAGGCACATTTAATGTTGGCCAATTTTTGTTGTTCACATAGAATATTAAACATGTACAACAATGCAATAGGCAATAAACACACAAAAACAGAACGGAATGAAAATAATGGCTTGGCATTAGAAATACAGTGGTATGCATAAAGACAGCTTATAATTTGAATAAATGTTTTAACATGTGTATAAATCTTTCATCTTTGAAAATATATAAAAAAAACAATGGCAAATTAAAAATGCATAGAAATTAAATGGTATAGAATACAAATTTATATATTTAATATAAACACTTGACACAAAACCCTTTCTAAATTATACTTTTACTACCTAAAAAGTGATTTTAATTTACCCTTTATTTGCACAACACAAAAACGAATCATTTTGAGAACTTCCCTCACCACTTAAAATTTGTGGGTTGTCTCCCATTGTACATTTGATTGTTGTTAACTTTGAAGAACTGTTATGAAAATGATTAAATTTCAAACTATTAAAATTTAGCAGGCTAGTCTGAAAGTATTAGCATGCTGATACTATTTTTTTCCTATCGATAAATAATTCAGGATGGCCTAAACTATAAAGCTATAAATTATAAACACATGCAAACCTCAATTTTTTTATTTGTTTTACAGAGATTTAAGTTATATTGATTTTAAAGGTTTAAGACATAACCTTCGTCTCTCACTAGAACAAATGTTTTCATCAGAAATACAATATAATTCAAATTAAAAAATCTTTACTGGATCTGCACTTTATCTACATTCCCTTGCTGTCGAAAATAAAACCAAAACCTATACTATATTAATAACATCTTAAGCCCATATACAAAGCTTTACAATATAAATCCTTCCATAAAAAAGTTTTCATCCAATTAATCACCTAATAATCCTTTCAGAAAGACATTTCAAAATTTGTTTAACTATCAAAATTTATGAGACAGTAAATTATACCTGTATCGCTTAAGATCTCTGTTTTAGGAGAATGAACAATGGGCATTTAAAAAGTTGAATAATATGTTATATCCATCAAGTACATAGAACTTTTTAACACCAGCTATATAAAAAAGTAAACTCCAAATTTTCCCAGCAGTACTATTTAACTGACTCCTAATATAATTACTTGGAAGCCTATAAATACAGTTCTACCTCCATCCACTGAGATCCTAGCTAAATACTGACTAGATTTTGAGCACTATATAAATTTACCAAGAAGGGACTCAAAAGGACTTGAATATTAGTAAATCAATTACTTATGTAAAATGTTTGGTTTTATAAAAAACATATCAGCTACTCTAACAACTTTCATTCCCCTTTATAAGCCCCTTAGGTAATCATGCAAACAATATACATTTTAACAATAAACAAAGGAGGCATTGTATACACAATTATATCAAAAGCTTTCACAAAATTTACACAAACCCACTCTTTCAACATATCAATTAATTTCTTATATTTTTCTAAATTATTAAATGGTTTTTGTTTCTCACAGCCAGATTAATTGTACAAAAAGGTTTCTCACAATCAAACACAGAGACATTCAAAAAGAATAAACTTTTGAAATGGTCCCTTTACAACCTCATTTGTTCAGCTAATTATCAAATAAATGCTTTGCCATACATGTCAGTAATATGATGTCAGTTGCCCTTTTTATCTGCATTACATTATAAAAGATTCAAACATTTTATAAATATTGGCCATTGATATGATGTCATTAATTGATACGCCTATATTTGTCGTGCAAGCTGTTGAAATTATTCATTTTCTTCCTCAGGTATATACTGGTATTCAATTTGCTCAGTATGCAGGCTGGTATGATGGCCTTGACTTTTTATATAAATATTAATGATTACGAAAACCACATTTATAACCTGAATAAACGTCTGCACATTGTAAATCATTTTTAAATATCCTAATGAAATCTTACTTTTTTTTTGAGTATTCAAAGAAAGCAAAAATCTGACAGTCCAATATACTGAGTATATATGGCAATACATGTTTGTGATGTGTATCTACAACATACACTACAACACATATATAAATATCACACGTTTAATATCCATCCATCATACATGATTTAGTCTACTGATTAGTGTTAATAAACAAAGAAATTTTCAATATATATTAAATATAAAAAATAACAGTGAGATATTAAATAAACATTATTTTTCTTTCTATGCTCTACGTTATAAAATAACAAATTCTAAATAGAGAAACAAGATTTAAAGCAAAAAAACAACCACATCCTTATCCTTATTTTCAATCTTGAAATAATACACAATCATTTCTGCTTTCACTTAAAGCAAAATCAAAAGCTTTATAAAATAGGTGTTCAGTAAGTTCAGAGATCAACCCTTTCAACCCTTGCTTTTTAAAATAAGTGTTCAGTAAATTCAGAGTTAAAACTTTTCAACCCTCGACTTAAATCAGAAGGGACATCATGTAATACAAAACTTTCATTTTGGTCCTTTTTTACAAGTCTGATCCTTATTTTTTAATGTGAAGCACTGTATCAAAACTATCATGAGTCTTGATTCTTTGGCCAACATTAAAATGATAGACTGTGTTCGAAAATTTATGTATATAATAACAAACTGGAATTTTACAAATAAGAAAACATAATTATAACATTGAAAAAAGAGAGAAAAAAATCTAAAAAAAAAACAAAGAAGATTGTTTCAAAAACAAAACCCATCATTTAACAAAAGGCCACATTTTTTCTCTTTATCCAATAACTTTGTAGACAATATCACAAACATATCTGCAGTATTACGATTGTTCAGTATTACGATTTTTACGATTGTTCATAATTAAAGCATAAAAAATTTTATTGCACATGGTAATGATTGCTTATTTCAGTTCCCAGGTAAGCATATTCTTGTTTCCATAAAGTGATCAAAAATTGGTAATTTATGTAAACAGTTCAACTGCTATCATTTCTCTTAACTGAATGAATCTTACTCATTTTGTATCCAGTTCTTTAAATATAAAATAGAAAAGAATAATCAAATATGATCATCCTGGAAAAACTGGTACACTTCATTTAATATATAGACATGTCGTGCATTTATACCTTGAACACTATTTCTAATTTCTGGCAAAAATGTCAAAAAACACTGCTGCGACATTGACAGCAAATGCAATACAGAATTCACGAAAGTGTGGCCCGAACAAGAAACAACTAATAAGCTCACATCCTGTTGCAACTTGGTCGAAATGTTTATAAATTATATACAGTGTCTATTATCACAACTAAAACTCTAACCGGTAGGCTGAGCAGCTTGTTTCATGATCTTGAAGATGAATTGTACAACGACTTGCAGAAGGACCGACATCTATATTTAGCTCACTCAATTTATCACGATTGAGACCCATCCAGTGCCGTAAAGTATCATTATCGTAGGTTGGTATTAATGTGACCTCTGAATTCTTGTTATCCCAAGTTTCCTTTGCTTCCATTAAAGCTGTGAGAGTTTGTGGGTTAGGTGAAAGTGAACTGAGGACATAATATCTAGCTCTAACTCGTTTGAAAAATTCTATGTCGCTATATGATGGATTTCCATGATTTGGTATGTATGTCAGATCTACGTAAAATGGTGTGAATGGTGGAAGAGGAGGGGTCTTTACAGCTGGACTTGCTCTACTAGAACCTGTAGCTGTTGATGGTCTTTTCCCAAGGGAAGTGGAAGGCTTAGACTTTGTTTCAGCAGCACTTGCAGGCCTAGTCTTTGTTGTATTGAGCTTATTGGATGGCCCATTTGAAGATGTATCTAATTTAGCTTTTGCTTTACTGGTAGCTAGAGGATCTTTTTTCACACCATTTTTTGCTGGAATTGGCTGCTTTGCAGTCTTTTTTGCTGAAGATGGTTTACCATTTCCTGCTGGTGGTTTAGCACCTGCATCTGGGGGTGGGGGAGAAGGCAGGCCCATTGGTTTTCCCCATTCCGCATCTGGATCAAAAGGATTAGTTGACAGCTCTTTTTCCTCCTCTTCAGACTCAACATTTTGCTTGCAAGCATCACCAAATGGATTCTGTGATTGAGGGGCATAAGGATCGAAACCTAATCCATTTACTGGCTTGACTTCATCTACTGGAGATTCTGAGGAACTTCTTTGCTCTTCATATTGTGCAAATGGATCTGATGTTTGCATGGATGGCATATTTGGACTACCAGAACAAAATGGGTCATATGGGTCCATAGATTCCATAGGTCTTTCTTCCGTTGTTTCTTTTTCAGAAAGAGTCTCTTTCTCTAGACCTCCTAACTGATCAGAATGTATTTCTTTAGGATCAGGTGTTTCATCCTTTTCAAAGGCTTCAGGAATGTTAGACACCTCTAGTGAATCATTATATTGCTCATGTGTTCCATCCAAAGACTCCTTAACTTGCTGTTCTTCATCTTCCTGTTCATGAACCTCAATACCAACTCCACTCTGTTTACCATCTGCTAACTCTTCATCGTCATCATGTAAATATTCCTCCTCTTCTTCTGCAAATTTGTCCTCAACAACTCCTTCATCTGGACTGATGGAACCTTCAGTTCGAATCTCATCTTGACTTTTAACCTCTGGTTCAGTGAGATCATCATCTTTCTCCTGACTCTCTGTTGGTTCTGGAGAACTTTCTTTCTCATTAACTTCTGCACCTTGATGAAAAGCTTTATTTTCAAATGCATATGGAGATTCATCATCAACCTTTTCTTCATCTAACTGTCCTTTGTCATCTTCCAAGCCATCTAAATTTCTTTCACGGGCATCAACTTGACTGTCATTTTCGTCAGGTGAGATTTCATCTTCATCTACTTCACCGATAGTTTCCTGCATCTTGCCTTGTGATTCAATAATATTTTCTTGTATTTTGTCTTGTGATTCAACAATATCTTCATCTTCAAATTTTTCCTGCACTTGTACTACATCAGGTGGGTTTTCTCCCTGAATCTCCCTCTCAATTGCATTATCATCTTCATGATGATCAGATTCTTGGCTAGTTGTCATACTTTTCTGCATCAAATCTTCTGATGTTTGGTCAAGTTCTGGTATGTCAGCTGCTTTACTAGACATCAAAGATTCAGAATTTGTCAATGATTCAAATGCCTCTGAACCCTGATCTGGTATATCATCACCAAACAGTGACTGTTGCATTGGGTCTTGTGTTGTAGGTTGTTGGGGTTCACTGTCAGCTGAAGGGATAGATTTTTCAGAGGTATCAAAGTCGAATAGAGGTTTATCGTCTAGCGGAGTTGATGTAGTGGCTGCTGTTAGATCTATGTCTGGTTCATTCTGAAGACCTTGTACAACATCAGGTTCAATAGGTGCCATTCCAGAAATAAGAGGTTTCTCCTCCATATTCTTTCTATCATTTACTGGGATCATATCAGGTTGTGAGAAAGCTTCCTGTGCAGGGTATTCAACAGGTTCTGGTAAAGCTTCTGGCTGGACATCAACGTTGTCATCATATATTCCAAAATTATTCAAATTCTGACCCTGTTCTTCAGTAGGTGTTCCATTTGACATTAAATCTCCATTGTATCCTTCATGGAAACTCTCCATCATCTTATTTCCCATGTCAGAACCTCCCATTCCCATCAAGTCTAGTTCTTCAGGAGAGGTATCCTCCTGTTCATACTCATCAGTAGGATTTGGTAGTGGCTCTGGTGATGCCTCCTTTACTTCACTATTACCAGTATCACTCTCCTTTACTTCACTATCACCAGTATCACTCGCCTTTACTTCACTATCACCAGTATCTGTCGTTAATCCACTTTCAACAACTGGTTCATTTGGAGAAAGATCGAGTAATGATGTTTCCTGCATTGGTTCAACAACAGCTACAGGAGGTTCTTCAATATTCTGCACTTCTTCAATTACTTCTTTCTTCTCTTCTTTTTCCTCTACCTTTTCTTTCACTTCTTCCACTTTTTCTACCGGTTTTGCTGGTTCTTTGGTAGGAGATTCTTTCTTAGTCTTAGTCTCAGTTTTAGCCTTTGGAGCTGTCTTTTGAGCTGCCGGAGCAGTTTTTGTCGGTTTACTTGCTTTGTCGTCTTTTTTTGCTGTCTTTTTATTCTCATCCTCTTTTGAAACTTTGTCTGCCCTTAAAGAGGCTGCTGTTGGAACTCTTGGTTTGGATGGTGGTGGTTTGTGTTCCTCTTTTTTTGGTTCAGGTTTTTTGCGTTCAAATGAAGTTTTAACTTCTGAGGTTTTTCGATCTGAAGAGGCTTTCAATTCTGATGTTCGTCTAACCTCACTTACAGGTTTTGAACTTCTAGCAGTGGTAGGTTCAGCTGACTTGACAGGAGGTTTACTTGGAGCTGGACGTGCAGCCAAAGAATTCCTTTTCGCTGCAGAGGTTGGTTTATTTTCCAAATCTTTTGCAGTACAAGATGCATGTTTCAAAATATCTAGGTGTTTCATTTTTTCTAATCCTTCTAATAGTTTGTACTGGGGTGCATTTCCAGGAAAGAAAATTCTAGTAATTTTTTCATTTGGATCTGCAGGCTGCCAGACAAGAAGTGTACATACTGATAACTGGTTCTGAATTGGTATTTGGTGCAGGGAACCATGTTCAGACAAGTGCTTGTTCCAATGTTGATAAAAGTCTTTCAGCTCTTTACTGTCTGAGACTGGATTCAAAACATACATATTCAATGATCCATGACCTACTTTGTGGTACAAATTAATAGGCTGTAATGGCTGTGAAGTCATTGGACGTGTGCATTGCTGTGGAACATGTCCAAGTTGTTTTGCATATTCTATTAATCTACTTCCTTCATCAGACAAATTGATGCATAAACTAGGTTCCTTCTCTGCCTGACCATTGACAACTGCTGAATGACTGACTTTGTCCGAACCATTCAAATACATGTAACCTATTTCTGGATGAATATATTCTGTACTCTTCCGCTTCAGTAAGGTGCTTATTCCAAATACATTATCAGTGCCTAAATGTGTCATGAGAAAAGCATCTATACGATCCAGATGTCTAGTTAGGTCCCAGAAACAAGCTTTTCTACTGTATCCACCATTAATTAAAAGATTAAAGCCACTTACACCAAACAAGGATGAATCTCCTTCACTCCCCGGGAAAATATATAATGTAGGCTTGTTAAATCTGATACTTCCAACGACATCTGATGTTCTCAACAAATCTTCTGATGTTTTAGCATTAATAAAGCTAGCTATATAGGCAGTGAATTGTAATACACCATGAACATTATCTAAAGCTTTTTCTTCAGAACTAACTTTTACAACAGTGTTTTTGAAAACTTCAAGTTTTTTTAAGCTGTCAGCTTTCCATTCACCTCCTTTGCTGAAGTAAAAATTAATCTGGCCACCATTTTGTTGTTTCATCGCATCCTCGATTTCTTTATCTTTACACATTTGAGCAAAGCTGGCAATAGAGAATGTGTCGTCCTGTAACACCCAAGCTCCATTACCAGAGAAGAAGTGACCAGCATATATCAAATGCTTGTATGGAGCACTTAAGGTTAAGAAATTTTTCAGCGCCGCAACCAATGTTTCCAGATGGGAGTTGACAACTATCATGGAGGCCATCTTTTCTGTACCATAGTTAAGTACTCGCTCACCTGAAATATATAAATAAAGTATAATAAATTATGTGCCAAAATGTTGCTACATCTATATTTTTATTGCGCAACAACTAAACTCCAAATTCTATAGAATAAAAATGGATAGCAGATGACATGAAAAGGGAACTTGTGTAAGTTGGGGAAATAGTCCTTTAGTATGTCGTGTAAATATATAAATTTTCAAATACTAGGGAAAATACATCTTCTACTAAATTTTCAAATCACTATAATATGTAAAGCCTTCAAAACTTTGAATTTACAATCTACCCTTTTGTTTAACTACTATCAAAAGTAAATTCTGCATATATTGTATGAAGGATGATTCATCCTGAATTGATCTCACATTCAGAACAAAATACATGTCTAAGTGAGTAAAGTCTCTTCCAAGTATCCTTATACTCAGTTTTCTCTGGTTTCCTTTAACAACCTTTTCTTTATGACCAATGTGCAGGGAAGATTCAAATTTGGAATAAAATCCTTAAAGAATTTGTGTGGAGGTCTTAAAGTAATTAAAGGAGTTACAGAAGGGAAGACACTCACATTCAATATACAACTTCATAATAAAAACACAGCAAGGGTCAAACCATAAGTATAATATAAGAAACAACATGCAACATGAGGGACATTTGTTATACACATACAGGAAACAGGAATAACAAGCAGGTATTCAATAAAATATTCTGTTTGCATACAATACAAAGATACAGGTATGTTTTAATCTTTTTATATCAATCAAACAAAAGCAAAGACACCATGCATGTGTTTAGCTGTGGATATGACAAAACATTTTATTTACAAGGTTTCTAAGACTCGGAAGTCATAAAGCAAAGGTACAAAAATTAATTTAATCAAGTCTTGTTTAATATCTGACTATTCACAAAAACGTCATTGTCAACTCTCGTTTACTTTACTTTCGACCCATGACAAACATGTTCATTTACATACAAACCGTTCAGACTTGTATCGATTCCTAACTTAAACAGCAGACGACAATGCTTTGCTTGAACAGCAGACGATGTGCAATCTTAATGTGTCTTATTTTGATCAAAATATCATGTAATGAAGATTATAAAAACCAATACACCATAAAATATTATCTTATAAGAATTTAATGCCAATTACTTTTATAACACCTCATAATATACAAAGATAAAAGTATTATTATTTCTTAAAATTGAGAAAGATAGGTATAGTAAAAAATACATAGAGAGAAGTCAGCGTCTATGTCATCACTGCCTATCACATGGATCAAATTCTATTGAAGATGAGACCCATTTCACAGTAAGTTGTCCTTTATATAACGAACAGAGAAAATTATTATGGGATAAAGTAAACAGTTTTTGTAATAATTTTAAAGAATTACCCAAGGATAAAAAATATTTCTGGCTGTTCACAAATGAGCATTTACCAACTCTTATGTGCCTAGGCAATTATATAATTAAGTGTTTAGAAATAAGATCCAGGTGGATACAAAATATATAAAATTATTATGCAATTATTGTTAATGTTATGTAAGACACATGATGTGTTAGGCTCTGATCCTGTCCAATATATGATAGTATTATATTAGGATATAGTTTTTCTTTTTTCCAATCATATTGTGCTTAATATTGTTGTAAATGATGCCCTTTATGGGTTCTTGATTAGATTAATAAAATTCTTCTTATCTTCTATTATCCTACTAAAATTTAACGCCACTTTCAACAATTACTAGTTATCAGATAACAGAATGGAATAAAGGTGAGGAGGTAGCAGATTACTTTCCTCAATGAAGTTGTATCGATAAAAAGAGGGGTGAGCTTTTACATCAATGAATCAGCAACCCAACAAAAATATCAAGGCATCTAGAGGCCATCATACAATAGACAGGTGTGTATACAATAATTCGGCTCTAAATTGTTCCAAGTTTTAAATTCTGAAAAAGTTTAACAGCAAAAATCAAAGATCTGCCATCCAAATAACAAAAAAAAAAAAAATGATGTATGACATATGGCAATAACTGACAAGGTACCAGCAACAAAAATACCAAGGCATCTAGAGGTCTTCATACAATAGACAGGTGTGTATACAATAATTCGGCTCTAAATTGTTCCAAGTTTTAAATTCTGAAAAAGTTTAACAGCAAAAATCAAAGATCTGCGATCCAAATTACCAAAAAAATCCTGATGTATGACATATGGCAATAACTGACAAGGTACCAGTGGACCAACGCATGAAAATGTGGTGGATTTGTGATTTTTTTTTTTTTATATAGATCTTATCTTGAGATGGTATCTAAATACAAAATGTACTATACAAAAGTACATAACTATCTAAATGGCTACCATTACAGAATATGCAACATGACCTTGAGATGTAGGTGTAAATTAATCATTGTTTACTTTTATCATAATCTATACTGATTTAAAGAGTATTACCACACAGAAACTAATCTCTAAGAAAAATAAATAAAACTATTTGCTATCTCCTTCTAATTGACAAAAATTGCACTTTGTATGATTTACAAGTTCAAAATTAAGTAATGGCTTCTGCTGATAGCAATAAATTCATTATTTTGCCAAAACTTAAAAGGTTTTGTTTTAAAAAGTATAATAAAATTTGTAAGAAGTAACAAGGATAAATACATGTTGTCATGCTATGAAGCATACCTCCACTCTAAGTATTGGAGAATGGGAAGTTGTAGCCTGACAGATTTGTGAAGGCCTTACACATAACAATTTATCACTTCCAAGCTGCAGACCAGAGATTAAGTCATTCTGTAAGTAGTACTGGAGAGTGATGAAAATGTTAATTTCATTCCTAGACAGAGGATATAATTAAGATTTTTTTTTATTTTGAAAGTAGAGGTGCTGGAAAGTTTATTATGAAAAAAGTAGAAATTTTGGTAACCGCTAGGTCTCTTTCAACCCTTTTAAAAAACAGCTGCAGAAAGCTGACATACTTTTGGAAGGCATTTCAGTGATGGAATTAAACCAGCAAACTTCATTGACTAAATTTCCAATATAAAGAACAAAACATTTCCAATCAAGCCTTTTTTCCAATCCACCTCAAGAAGGCTGTCACACAACCTCCAATATAAATAATAATTTCTGGAACCATTTAAATTAACAAAAATGTTTTTTTAACACGAGTAGGCAATAGGTTGATTTTTTTTCATTCCGTTGGCATCACTTCTTGTGATCAAGAAGAAAATGACCCTTATTACAGCTGAACTTCTTTTCATTGTCAAGCATAAAAAGTTTGCTTGTTATCTAGGTAAACCATAAGTTTCAGGCTAGGATTCAAACAGGTAGCACTAGGTCCACACCCCTTAAAAAAGAAAAGAAGATTCCTCTGATTCGTATTCTCAGGGGCACTCCCCACCCCTATATCACATCCTGGATCAGCCCCTGAATTCTTTATAAGCTATTATAATACAGAAACAAACTGTCAAACAGCCTCTCAGTCATTCTTTAGTTACTTATCCTATGATTTGATTTACTAGTAATAACAAATGTTACTCATTTAAAAGGTAGTAAACAAAGGTTATATTGATTTTATGGTTGACCTAGCAAACATTGGGAAAATTCATTGCTTTTTGTACAATCTGTAATATTTTAGATAGATGAAGAATGTGTCCATGGGACAAAGATGCCCCCACTTGTAAACATACAGCAAATTCTGAAATTTTTCAATGTACTAAGAGACATTACTCAAGAACTGTGAGTACAAAGGGACATTACTCAAGAACTGTGAGTACGAAGGGACATTACTCAAGAACTGTGAAAGTGACGCCACACAAATTCAAACTTGATCTGTGTTTGTTAGTAATAAGAATTGTGTATAAGCTTCATGACATTTGATAGAGGCAAACTAAAGTTAGAGAACGGAAACTAATTTTGGGACGTACTTACGGACAGATGTATAGACGGACAAGGTAAAACTTAATGCACCTCAGATGAGAGGGGGCATAAAAAAAAATAACATGTATTGTCATACATGACACCCATTTCCTCTCTGTATTTGGGGAGGATCCAAAAGATGTCTGAATACTAATCATAATATATAGATATATATGTGGTATGAGTGCCAATGAGACAACTCTCCATCCAAGTGACAATTTATAAAAGTAAACCATTATAGATCAAGGTACGGCCTTCAACACGGAGCATTGGCTCACACCGAACAGCAAGCTATAAAGGGCCCCAAAAATTACTAGTGTAAAACCATTCAAACAGGAAAACCAACGGTCTAATCTATATAAAAACGAGAAACGAGAAACACGTATGAACTACATAATGCCAGTTTCTATTGAAATAATATAAACTAATCTTTTTTCAGTCAGTCACCCCCTCCAAACACAAACAAATGAGTTATTGCATCACCAACTGCATGGCACTAATGACTGAGTAAACACACTTATACACCTAATGATATCCTAATTATAAAATTTACACTCATCAATGTATTAACATGTACATGGTCAATTGACAAACATTAAGATCATCAAAACATTCCTCCCACTTTTTTGTCATGCCTTAGTTTGATTGACAATGATCAATTGAAAGCACATGCATTAATTGGCTGCATGCCAAGATAACATGCGTTTTACATGTTAGTTGATACACATTACTCATTGGAAATCTAATTCATTCTGAGTGAAAAAGATAATTTTCTTCCTGATGAAAGGTATGACCTCATTGATAATAATAAACTTTCTCCAGACACATTATCAAGACAACCCATATGTTCTAACATGTTTTTAATAAGTTCAATCTACAAATGTTCTGTTTTTTTTTTTCTTAAATTACAGAGAAAGAATTCAGAAATAAATAATTTTATTGGACATCTTTAATTTACAAATATGACACAAACAACATGTAGAAGCTTGAAAGGTTTTGCCAGGTACAGATGAAGCCAAAATAAAATATCTGTCTCTATTGGGGTTTTAACAGGTACTTGTACAAAATAGTAACACATAAGCTCCAAAGGTTTGGGTACTTCTCTGGATTTATTATTGTAAATGTTCTCTCTGTTTTAAATGACTTATTATTTTAACTTGAGTATAATGTCAAGGCTGTGAGGTATATGGAACCCTTATAAATTATCGCTATATTGTGCATTTTCCTTTGATCTTTTTTGGTGATTTTTTTTCATATCATGATACTCGCTTGAGATGAAAAATGATTGTCAGAAACTAAGGGCGCACGTGACGTTGTCAATATAAACATGAACGACCTCATTGGCAAAATAGCAATTAACAGATTATCAATTGTCTTTCAAACCTGATGATGTTTCTCCCTCTCCTTTGAAAAACCATCAATAAGCTATAAGTATCAGAGTTCCCCAAAGGTTTGTAGTCACATATATGGAACCCTTATGAAGTATCAGAGCTCACCAAAGGTTTTTAATTGGATTTTTGTTTCTCAATCTTTAGTTTTTTTGTATAAAGTTTTGTGAATAAGTGTTGCCTTTCTCCCTACAAACCATGGTGTAGTTTTGGATTTGTGTTTCTCAATCATTAGTTTTCTATATAAAGTTTTGTGAACTAGTGTTGCCTTTCTCCCTACAGACCATGGTGTTATTTGGATTTGTGTTTCTCAGTCTTTAGTTTTCTATATAAAGTTTTGTGGAATAGTGTTGCCTTTCTCCCTACACACCATGACGTTGTTTTGGATTTGTGTTTCTCAATCTTTAGTTTTCTATATAAAGTTTTATGGATTAGGGAATGACCATTTAACTTCAAGGGGAGAGGGGTTATGGTTTTTTCCTATAAAATATTCTGATCCCCAATTTGATGAAAAAAAATATTGTGGTCAAGCAGATGACAAAAAAAATATTCTGAATCAAGATTTTCCCCATACTTTATAGTGTTAAATTTTGAAAAAAATAATTTGATTGATAGCATCAAAAAACTAAAAAAAAAAAATTTTGTACTTTGTGCGAAAAAAAATTCTGACAAAAAACTATAACCCCCCTTGAAGTTAAATGCTTGCTCCCTTAGTGTTGCCTTTCTCCCTACAGACCATGGTGTTGTCTGTTCTAGTTATGTCATGAATCTCTGAAATTTTTTTATACAATCCTATAAACTGCTACACTAAATAATAACATATGAATCATGCTTTATTAAATCAATACCATTTTTAAAATCAATCTAACAAGCAATAACCAGAAATAACCAGAGATAGCCATAAGGAAAAAACATCTACATCCCAGCATGCAATCCCATATTTAAGGGGCATCTCAAAATTGGCAATGAGTGTCTTTTAAAAAGCCCACTGAAAAGGATAGTGTGTATTCTGAAGGCTGATAGAGCGTAAAAGAAATTTAGCAATGATTCAGCTTTGAACTAATTGAAGCAAGTACTAACATTTATAGATGTACATGATGTTGACTGAATGTATTTAGTACAAATGTCTATCAAAATTAAATGATGTGTTTGATGTGATGTGGTGAAAAACAAACAACACCTTGCAATATGATGTCCACCAAAATTACTTACATATTCCTTCACTGTCTGATGTGTTTTAAAAACATTTAACATGTGTTAATAAATTTATAAACTTTAAGGTAATTTAATCAAATTTTTACTAAAATACAGAACAATAGACCAATAATGTGTCACAGTGAGCTAGGCATAACATAAACAAGGGAGATAATCACTGTGTATATGGAAACAAAATATCCAACCAACAAATATCAATTCATAGAAATACCCAATTACATTAGAAATGTCAGATAAAACAATATAATGGTATCCATGGGAATCTTAATTCTAGAGGCATTCTATATAAGTATAATAAATACAATTCCTACTTTAATCACATCTAAGAGACTAGACCTACTTCCAGAAAGTAACAGTAGCATTCACAACTACTCTTTGTAGTGGAGATCTAGAGGGGAAATAAGTTTTGCTGAAAACCATTTTTTTGGGATGAGAAACTACACTTTATAGAATTTTCTAATAATTTTTGTAATCCTGACTAAATATATACAAATGTATATATATATATATATATATATGTATGTCTGCCTATGTGTAGTGACAACTGTAAATTATACCAGCTATAGTTAGAGGAGGGGATAAGGCGTCTGCGCAATGCTAGGCGGTGTTGCCGTAGAAGTATGAAGTGAAAAGTACAGGTTCCAGCCCCGCTTGGGGAGGAAGTAAAGAATCAAATCTACTCTAACATTGTTAGGTTGATTTTCTAGGCACTTTATATATATATATATATATATATATATATATATATGTATAAACAAGTCTAAATTGAAAACAATGTTCAAACCTATGATTGCATTGGATAAAAACTACAATTTTTATACATGTGCATGCAAAACAAATTTCTTAGTAGAGGGGTCTAAATACAGCACAAACAACATTTTCCAAAAGACCAAAAAAGTGAAAAAGTATATTTTAACAAAACAAAAACAGGTCGAACAACAGATGTTCTTAAACCCTGCTGACTGCCATGGTGATTGCCAAATAAACGGATCACAAGATGTAACAAAATGGATCTTAATTATTAATTTAATACCAAACTGAAAACAAAATATATATAAACCATTAATAGGATCAATGCATCATTGAAACCCTGAATACAAATATCAACTAAATTATGCATAACTTCACTTCTGACAGAAAAATTAAGGTTAGTTGAAAGCTGTAAAGTGGTTTGGGAAGAGAAGTGGATGGCACAATATGTCACTTTCCAAGGCCAGTGAGGAAGTTTCCAAATTTGCCTTCCTTTAAATATAATCTTTGATATATATATCTCTTAATAATCCAAATATCCAAATAAGGTTATAACTTTTACTAAAAGTAGAAAAAAATTTAGTATCATTTTGTCAAAAATATTTGTTAAGTGGTTGAATTTGAACCAAAGATAACCTACAAAGAAGATAGGGAAGAAATAAAATTAATAATCTTTTATTTTCTTAGTAGTAAAGTTTGATTGTAAAGATTTAGTTTGGACATTGGGTAACTTAAAACGTTACTGCAAGTGTTACTGATCAACCATTGGACATCTTTTAGTTTCCTTTGTAAATATATCGTCTTTATTTGATATGGTCTTCACTTTAACTTTGTGTAAAAATGACTTATATCCATTTTATTTGAAACACAATATCTCTGAATATACCAACCATTTGGTCCTTCAACACCAAGCTCAGCTGCATTAGCAATGTGGGCCAACTCTTCATTGATGTCAACATCTTCACAGTCCCAGCAACGGAAACCTGAAAGTAGAAAAGGAAAAGGTAAATAATACAACTGGCATCACTGCAGGAGTATGTCTGAGACTGTTTTCACAGTTTTTTTTAAAGTCATAAAAAAATAATAAGGAGATGTCTGATTGCCAGTGAGATAACTATCTACCAGAGTTGAAAAGACATGGATGTGAGCAATGAAAGGTCACCGTATGGCTACAACAATGAGTAAAACCCACACCTCATAGTAAGCTATAATGTTCACAAATGAATTTGTTTCAGAGACTTTCACCTGAATATTCCTACCAAGACATACTACTTAAACAGTATATATGTCTGACTATGGCATTATAATAGGTATAATATTGACGTGATATACATATTATACTTCCATGGTGTGGCATTACTTAAACAAAAAGAAATGAAAAACTAACTAAACATTCATGTGTCTTTATGCAGTTTTAAAAAAAAGTACTGGGCACTGTAACACAATTCAGAAGAAAGGGAAATCATAAGACAACTAGCCACCAGAGACCAAATGACGTAGATGTTAGCAACTACAGGTCCCTATACAGCCTTCAACTATGAGCAAAAACCAGACCATATAGTGAAAGATATACTTTACATTTACCAGTAATATTAATGGTTCTTTGGATGAGTTTGAGATACCTCAAATAACCAAATATTACCATTTGTATGCCCTCAGCTGTCAACGGAGGGGGCATTAAGTGTTACCCTTTTCTGTCTGTATGTACGTCCATTCGTCCGTCCATCTGTACGTAGGTCCCAAAATTGGTTTCCGTTCTCTAACTTTAGTTTGCCTCAACCAAATGTTATGAAACTTATACACAATGCTTATTACCACAAAATACAGATCACGTTCAAATTTGGGTGGTGTCACTTTTACCATTCTCGAGTTATGCCCCTTTATAACCTTATATGCAAGTGGGGGCATCATCTGTGTCCCATTAACACATTCTCCATTCATCTTCAAACAGAGTATGCTATAGTTCTTTCAGCAGAAATAAAAATATAATTGCAGTGGAAGAACAATTTGTCTGTATGACCTACTAAACAGATTCACCATGGTGCTAAACATTGTCATGAGTGGAAAACGTACATCGTGTGGGGAAAACTACTATTATACAACGGAAGACTCTTAAGTAATCCAATTATGAACCACTTTAAATACACATCCTTTCTGAATGAGGAAAATGACAAAATTCATCACCACAGTTAAATAAATGTGGCTTTTGTTGTTACTAATGGGAAGTTATATTGCTTTTTGTATTTTCTTACTTACAACCAATTGCATGCACTGCAAATCCATCTGCTTAATTTCAAATGTTTCAATGCTTAATCATTTCCATTTGCCTTCACTTTGTTTACTGAAGATTATCCCTACCTTACCCTTAATCCAACTGTCTCTCTGCTCAAGGAAACCTACAATTATTGCTTTTGAAGATCCACATAAATGAAAAGTGAAATCTATTTACTTAGGATATATATGAAACCTTATATAGAACAATTTCGATTTAAAAGTTTGCTTTGAAATTTTTCTATTGGACACACATTTGTGGAACAAAGATGTCTATTATAATAAAGGTTTGAGATTTTAACAGTGCACTGGATTCAACTAATTTGATAACTACCAATCACAAGATTTGGGATACAGTACTACTTGTACATTTAACAAAAGGGTTTCCTGGCTACATTGATGTTGCTTTCTGACCTTGACAATAATCAAATAAAACACCACCAGAACCCCATATGACCTACAATATAATTATTTTGTGTGGATAAAACAATAATTGCCAAAAAAAACCCAACTATATGTATTGCCTCGAGACTACTGAGTCTCATAACACAGAGTTTACTTTTTAAATATTTAAGGAATGTGTAAATAAGTCACAGGTTTCTGTAATATCTACATCCAACATGTTTCCATAATCAATACTTCTTTCTTAGTAGAGTTGTAGCACATAGTTTATGAATAATGTTCTATATATTGCTTTATAAAAGTATTACAATAGCCATATATAGAAAATTGTGTCTATGATTCATAACTTTCAAGGAGTTTTAAAAAGACTGGCATCTTTAATTCTTAAATGTATATTTTAGGTTTTGCTACCTTTCTATCATGTCTATATATACTAATATATCAGATTTTGTTTTTCCCCTAAAAAAGTCAATTTTTATTTCGATTCCGACTTGATAGAAACAAATATACATATACAATTTCTAAGCATGAAATGTAGGATGTGTCAACCTTTTCTTATTCATGAGATGAATCTTCATTTTACACGTAAGAACTATATTTACAATGTTACCACATCTAATAATATCAGTGTCTCATCATATGCCCAGACAATGAACACATGAACCTTACAGTTCCTCTGAACTTTGCTGAGATGAAGTGTCAATTTCTTTCAAGTAAAACCACATGTATGCAAATGTGCTTCACTGAGCTATCGCTTCCTTTACATATAATACTTCAGTCAAAACAGGTATTGTTTTCATGAAAGATGTATAATTAAACTGGATTTTTCAAAGTAAACTGGTATAATTCTTTTTTTTCCCCTGGATTATAGATTAGAATCAGATCCAGGAATTTGTAAAAGGAGAGGCCTTCAAAGTAGGCAACGTTAAGAGTGGGACAAGTAAAAAATCTATGCATTAACCAAATCCATAACTGGGGCCCCTAATTCCACCTCCGAAGATGTAACATTAGGAAGATTTGCATTAATCGAAATTATAATTCTACTACCCTTATCAAACTGGTACTTTATGTAATGAACCTTGACAAGACCTCAACTAAACTTTCAATGAATTCAAACTAATACCAACAATCCCAAATGACTTGTAATGAACATTGTCTAAATGCATATACAACTACTTTTTCCAAGTATCCCTCTCTTATGCTCAATAATACAGTAATTATATAAAGTATTATATTTCCCTAAAGAAATTGGTCTGGAAAGCACTGGTCGATAAACTATTATAGAAACAATGTTTTTTCTTCTCTGAATCAGACAAGATTGAAAGAACAATATTCACTATCAGAAATTAACCTTCATTATCTTTGGTAGAATTAACCTCTTACAAATATCAGCAATGTGTGAAGATTTGAACTTTTGATACTCTTTACCACCTTGGTGAAACTTTCTGTTTATACAAATATATAATCTTGCTTATGCTAAACACATTTGTATATATATTTAATATATACACTGTTTATATGAATCTGTCAAAAATTCCAAGTTCCATTGTTATCAATTTTTGTGCATCAACTTTTCAATTGTCCATAAGCAATATGTGCCATCACACAGCTATGGAATTATTCCACTTTAGTTCTTATAATGATTAATAATTGTAGTTCTACTTCAAACAAAGACTTTGTTGTACTGAAATTCTCCATGCCTTTACTATATATCTTGTTATAAAAATAAGATATGGTATGATTGCCAATGAGACAACTCTCCACCAAATGATGTAGAAGTTAACAACTATAGGTCACCATACGACCTTCAACAATGCACACATATGTGTTAAATTTTTGTGTTTGGCTTTCCAAATGTACAGTTTCTTGTTACATAACCCAAATAATTCAGTCGTTATATTCTGCTGCTATATGATGGCTAAATTAACACATGAAGAGAGATCGATCACAGGAAGAGACTGAATTATTCGGGATACTTAAATTGTTACCATGGAAAAGTTAAAAACCTTGCAACAATGCAGTCTCTAAATTATTCAAACCATGGTCCAAAGGCTCAAGATCTGTTAGCATCTATCACAGATGTTTAAAATGCTTAAATGAAGTGGTGAGGCAAGCACAATAAAACTTCTTATTTCAGAGACTTATAAAAAGCAAAAATGCAGTGTGGATATATTGCACAGCAACTAAGTCTCTTATGTTGTTTTTTTCTGAACAGATTTGCCAAGAAACTGACATTTAAATTAGATCCTATTAATTTTATTTCTACAAGTCAAGTCATGGATGCCATGATGAACAATTATTGACTCCTGTTTTACAATCATCTGTGACATTTTTCTACAAGTCAATAAATATTCTCTGAGGATATTATCCTTCAGAAATTGTCAACTTGATTTGATTATTGACTCTTAACCACAATACTAGACACAAAGACAAATAGATACAGTGATTTTTTTCTACTGTTCTTTTACCACTTTTAAAAACTAAAGTAGTTTATCTTAAATTCATTGTCAAGAAACAATTTTTTCCTGCATTTTTTTCATAAACAGGAAAGCTTTATATAAACTTTCACCATCATTATAGTCAGTATTACAGTAAAACCAGTATATAATGGTCACTCTCTGGACCAGAGAAAACTGACCATATAATTGAGTTTCAGAATGCATAGGTATTGCTACAGTAGGACACAAAGACAGAGCTGAAAAGACAGGTTTAGCTCAATAGAGCTGGTTCAACTGTATTTACATGTATATAGCCAATAACCTCTAGCGAACTTGACAATCTTAGATATTATGTTGGATGGCATGGACCATGCCATTTATGTAAATAATCATGAGTTTCAAGGTAACAGTAACAGGCCTAAGTGTATATTAGGTCTACCAAATAACATGTTCTGTAATCGGCTACCCATTCCCAGAAAATCTTAAAACACATTTTAATTTTCAGATTTTTAAGAAAATTACTTTGAATTCTTTTTTCTAAGACTTAACCAAAAGTGGTTTGCTAATATCACATTAATCAAAACCCTTTTCTAACCACAACTTTTTCTTAATTAAATTGCAAGAATCGATAATTTTTGAACTTTATATCTCCTATACAATGTATCCTATTCTATCAAATTTTCTGTCCCTTTACATTATGTCATTATAGAGTGATTTGATTTACAAATAATCTTAATTTATCTGGTGACTCAAAATGGAATTTTTGGTTAAAGAGTTTCCTTATTTTGTACCATTTAACTTATCACAACAGGTATTTACATATACCTCTGTCCAATCTATGGATGATTCAACATACATGTATTTAAGGATCG